GCGCACCCCCTGCCCCGGCCGCGCACCTCGAACTGCTGGCACTTCCTCCTGAGGATGTTGACCTCGTTGGCCTGCAGGGGAGCCACGTTCTGCTTCACCTGGAAGGCCAGCTTCTTGGTGTTGGTCCACTGCTCCGGCAGCTCCTAGGCGGGCGAAGGCCGGGGGGGGTCCTGTGACTACAGACCCGCGCGGGGGGCTGCGCGGGGAGCACAGAGTCCCCCGGGCCCCCCAGCCTCCCGGGCGCCTCTGCAGGGCTGCGCCTCCGTGGCCAGGCCAGGCGGTGGCAGCCTTGTGTTTCCGGTACCCAGGTGAGCTGAATCTGCATCTATGTGTGCACATGTGTGCGTGCGTGTGCATGCTGTGTGTACCTGCATCTATGTGTACACGTGTGTGCGTGCGTGTGCATGCTGTGTGTACCTGCATCTATGTGTGTGCGTGTGTGCGCGTGTGCTGTGTGTACCTGCATCTATGTGTGTGCGTGTGTGCGCGTGTGCTGTGTGTACCTGCATCTATGTGTGCACGTGTGCGTGTGTGCGCGTGTGCTGTGTGTACCTGCATCTATGTGTGCACATGTGTGTGCGTGTGTGCTGTGTACCTGCATCTATGTGTGCATGTGTGCGTGTGTGCGTGTGTGCTGTGTGTACCTGCATCTATGTGTGCACATGTGTGTGTGTGCGTGTGTGCTGTGTACCTGCATCTATGTGTGCATGTGTGCGTGTGTGCTGTGTGTACCTGCATCTATGTGTGCACGTGTGCGTGTGTGCGTGTGTGCTGTGTGTACCTGCATCTATGTGTGCATGTGTGTGCGTGCGTGTGCTGTGTGTCGGCGTGGTCCTGAGCAGTGTCATCCTGTGTCTCCAGGAGGAGGCTGGCCGTCTCCTCCGGCCACGGGAAGGGTCCCGGCCGTCCTCTCTCCCCTGGACACGGCCGCCCGGCCCCGCCTACCTGCAGCTTCACGTATATCTCCTCCGGCATCTCCTCCCCGTAGGTCTTGAGCAGCTCGATGGTCTGCTTCAGGGGCTCGAACATGGTGTCGGTGGCGGCCTGTCTCTCCTTCACCCGCATCAGGTGCCCCATCACGCCCACGAGGCCGTCATAATCCCCTTCCTTGATGGGCGTCCTGAGGCCCTCCTTGGCGACTTTCATGAAGGCTTCCAGGTCACTGAGGCTACGGGACAAGCAAACCGCCTGTGACAGAGGCCACCTCCCCGGGGGCGGGCTGTGGCCATCCGAGGCGGTGGGCTGAGGGGGGGGCTCCTCCCGGGAAGGCAGAGCCGGGGTCCATCTCAGGACACCTGCTATTTCCCCACCCGCACGGCCCCCCACGCCTCACCAGCGCCCCTCAAGCTGATCGGCAAATCCCAGGGTGAGGCCGCGTCTCAGAGGGCCTTTGCTGCCCCCCAGTGGCACTGAGCTGGGTCACACTCTCTCGGGATCCCGCCCGTCCCTGTAGCTGCACCGTCCCTGGTGCATTTGTCACCGGTCAGGACTCCCTGCGACGCTCGCCTGAGCGGAGGGTGTCCTCACGCCTGGCACCCAGATGCCGCGAGTGCGCAGTGAGCAGGCGCGGGCCAAGAGGCGGAGGCCCCCTGGCAGCCAGGGGACCCTCCCGCTGGCGCCACCCTGGGGGGGGGCTGGCCTCTCAGCTGGAACTCCACCCCCGTCTGCCCCAGAGAAGGCGCCGGACGACACCACGCACTTCCCCGGACGGTCGCCTGCACCGGGCCCGCCTGCCCCCCGGCTCCCCCAGGCGGCGGCAGGGCGCACCCACCTGGTGATGACGTGGTTGCTTAGGTGGCGCTTGAACATGAAGCTCCAGCGCTTGATGGTGTTGAGCAAGGCCTGCTTGAAGGGCCGGCAGTCACACTGCAGCCAGCCGCTGAACACCTGGGTGTTCTCGCACCGCGACACCTCCTCGTAGAGCCTCTCGTAGGAGTCGATCTGGGGGACACAGCCGGCTCGCCACGGGGCCGGGCCACCATGCCAGCTGTCCTCCCCCGGCACCCCCGCCCCTGGGCCTGGCCTCGCACCACTCAGGGGAGCCCATCCGAGGGGCTCCCCAGGACCAGCCGCGAGGGGAGGGTCTCGTACCCGCTCAGGGGAGCCCTCCGAGGGGCTCCCCAGGACGAGCAGGGTCGCCCGGCCCTCCTCAGGCCGCCCTCCCCGCTGAGGCTCTTGAGCGCCGCCCGCTGGCCCTGCCTTGTGCCGCACAGCGCGCCCACCTGGGCNNCACAGCGCGCCCACCTGGGCGCCCGCCTGCCCGCTCCCCGGGTGCCCTTCCCTCTCGCTGGGCCTCGGGAAACAGGTGCAGGCTCCCGTGTTAACTGTGTTTTCTTATTTTTTTTTTTTACTCCGGCCTCTGGGGCCTCACTCGCCCGCGAGGAGCCCCCACCTCCACCCAGGGCCGGCTAACTCCCAGAGAGCCACAGCGCCCCAGGGAGCCGTCTTTCCCGTACAGACTGACCCGCCCAGAGC